TTTAAAATTAATTTTACGCGTTCATGTAGGTTTACTTTGTCTGACTGTATTCTCATGCTTGGCTTTTTTATTTGTATCTTTTCTCTTTTTCTTATGCCAGTTTGCTTTATTCTTTAATAAGGTATATTTTTCAAAAATGTCTCACCAAATCCATGATCCCAATGACTTGCCCTCTAAGTTTGCATCTTTAAACAGTTGTCAGTGCATTGAAGGGTTTTGACACCTTATCATATAAAAATGTTCAAACCAATAACGTTTTCACAATGAAAATACCTCCCAAATTACAAATATTTTGCCATGCAGCAACCTTCCCTTCTAAGAGCGATGCTGCTACACGTTTCATCCGTCGTCATCACATCTGTTATCGAATTTAAGAATTGTACATGTACTTGCATAAATTTGTACATGTACATGTAACAGGTCTTTTAAGTCAAATGCACATGCAAATTCGAGTTCATTGCATGTTACCTGTCATAAATGGTGGCAAGTCAATTTAATAATTGTTACAACCTGCTATGTGTATGTTTATCCAAACTGTGTCTGTTGCTGAAACTCTCTCAGTGTTTTTCTAAATAGTACATCGATGGACAATGTACTTGTACAGATATACAGTATGCAGAAATGCCTCATTTTGGTGGTGAATAAATACAGATCTTCTTTGGAGTGATGGAGAACTGCATTGAATCATCTTGTTGGCTTGCTATAAAATCTCTGCATTTCAAAGCAGTCCACGTTCATGTATGTCTTATTCTAAGGACACCCAATACATGTACATGTACATGTACATGTACGTTACATGCATACATGTACATACTTGTACATGTAATTTGTATCCTACATCGACAGGTACCGCACAGTATGCATCACCCCAGGTGACGTTCTTCACTGATTATAATCAATATTATGGAATTTTTTCCCCTTGCGACTGTCTCTTGGGCACTTGTACATTGCACTCCGACGACTGCGTGTTGGAACAGTGCATGCAGGAAATGGGCAAAGGATTTAAAAGCACGGTGGTTGATCCTCCCCTGTGTGGAATGATATGTGAATTTTGCTGGCTGAACTAGACCAGCGTGATGATATGGAAATCTTTCGGCCAATTTTCGAACGACATTACAGCAGCAACTATTCTGATATCCAAATGTTGTATTTTGTAAAATTCATTTTCCTCTAATATTTTAGTTGAACATAATTATATGTAACATCCGCTACACATAACATTTCAAAGCAGACATGCATCTATATTCCTGTTATTAATTTCTGAAGTTATTCTTTTCATACACAAATTTAAATTTGATCCCATAAACATATTCAACCCTCTCTCTTCCTGAAGTACCGGTATCTACATGTACTTTTATGAGTACATTTATGTAGACATCACACGACATCCTTTTTGCAGCCATGGCATCAAGGGTTTGCATAAAAACTAAACTAAAAACACCCGAAACAAAACAAAGGCATGTCTCACATTACGAGTATGTCATGAGCAGCCATTAAGAAGTTGTGTTCCATCAAGCCAATAAGACAGAAGGGTAAAGATTGTTAAGGATTATGGAATAAATCAAGTCATTGCACCGTAACATTTGATTACTTTGATCTCTTTTCAGACAGGAAATTAAGAGGTTGCAATTGCGGGCAGTGTGTGCCCGACACGGGCAAGACAAAATGATGTGGGAGAGGTTCAAGTAATTTATCTGTCATGCAGTGTTTATGTAATGTAATGTACGGTATACAGTGGTGAACAGTACTTTTTACAAGTTCACCAGTGATCATCCTAAACAAAAGAGTTTATGCATGAATGTATATAATAAAAATGGACCAGAACCTCTTATTCATTCTCTAAAGGAAATATGCTTGACGACTGAGGTGTCCTACGTTACGTACATTTACATCAACTCATCAACTTGATCAATAAAAGTAGAGATGTCACGTGCATGCTTCCGAAATACAAACACTACATGCATATACATGTACATGTTAATTGTATATCTGGGTGGTTTTTTTTGGGGGGGGCTTTTTGTGTTAGTCTTGTGGGCTCTTTTCCTTTTGTTTTATTTCTTATTTGTTTTGTTTATGTTTTTCATTCATCACTTGAGTGATTCAAACCAGAAATCAAAGCTAACTTAACTATAAAGAGTTAATTTGATTGCAGGGATGGAAATTAGACTCATTAGAGGTCAACTTGTCCCATTATGAATTCCTATGTCCAGTACCACTGCAGGGAGGCTTTACTTGAGGGAATTACATGTAGACCGTCAACAACTTTACTCACGCCTGCGTATGTACATATACATGTATGAGGCTGGGCACATGTAGCCTTGACATTATGTGGACCGCGAACTTGGAAATATTACAAGCTTAAAACATATACCCACATGGACATCTAGCGTGTGTGCCGGTATATTGTTTGTCTCCCTTGGAACTACACAGGTAGTTTCCCCATTCAGAATACAGTTTTTGGAAGAAAGCTTGACATGTATGTACATGTATCTATCATTTCATGTACTAGTACATGTATATTGTAGCACATGTACTATATTTGTACGTTGTAGCACATGTTCACCTGCTACACGTAAAATCCCTGTGTAGGTAAAAAATAACACGTAAAAGACATGTGTACACATATGAACATGTTTCATGATATAAAAAATAACTGGTCATCCAAAACTGCTAATTGTTCACTCGGTAAATTGAAGGACCTGGTAATATCTTTTCAGAATCAAACTTAACCAGTATGTGTCTGTCTGTGTTCATTTGCACAAGAATTCAAAAGTTGTGATCTTTGGCTTCCTTCTTCGATTCATTGGATATTTTTACAACAGCGGTTCATACAGAATTTTTGTTATTTAACCATTTTGGGGTGGGAAATCGAAAGTCATGTTGTTCAAAATTGTAATTTTTTGGAAGGGCTTTTGGAAAACTTTTTTGTCCTCTTTGAACAAAATTGTGACATGTTTGTATTGCATTTCAGTCACCCAGGCACATGCACATTCTTTCCCCAAAATGGATTACTGAGCGCTTAATTGAAGCATGTAATTGAGTTGTTGACACCCGTTCTGAAGTTTTGTAACTTACATGTACATGTACGTAACTGTGAACAAGTCCTTGACGTGGCTATTTCTCATGACAAAGCCTTTTTTAATCATGGTTGTGTCGCAGGCCAGGGTTTGCAATTTCCTGTCAGTCAATTTGCCCCGTGCTCCACACAGTGTTTGTCGGTCCGTGTAATTGACCTATCTCATCATGCTAAGACTTGCATGAGAGGATCAACACCCAGGCCAGGGCAAGAATCAGATGTGTTTTGTTCCCATGTTTTTTGTATCATGTACATGTACATACGTGTCTGTTTAGAGGGTTTTGGCAGGAGGATGGGAAAAATATGGGAAGAGCAGAGGGGAGGGGAGTTATGTTTTTGTTTGTTGGGTTGTTGGGGTGTTTGTTTAATTGTTTTCAACAAGGCAGCAATCTCCATTCTCCCCTAAAGCACCAGTCCACATGTACAGGTACATGTATAGTAAATAGTTGTTGGTGCAGAATATAGAGGAGTAATTAGGCCAGTCTGCAGAGTGTTTGCATATTGGCAGCAGATGCAGAGTGCAAATGTCTTTCCATTTTATCCCCTGCTTCTGTGTGTCACCCTTGATGGAGTGGCTAGTGCCCAGAGCAAATCAGTGAGGGGATGCAGGCTTATTCAGAGGAATTAGCTCTTTTGATTGGGTTTTATCCACGACTGCCAAGACGACTGCCAAAGGATTGGCAACCCACAGTGTCCACACAGCTCTGTGTGTATGGGTGGTCTCATCTTTCTATTAACCAGCATATGAATCTGTGCACTCTGCTGAGGAAATTAACTCAAATCATGCATGAAGGTCTCCTGTATTGAGCTCGCAGCTGAAGATGATAGGATGTGCCTAAATAGCAGCATGCTACATTTTCAAACATTACTTTTAAGCAAAATGAGAGAAAATACATGAAGTTGACCGTACATAATCAACCACATGATAGTGCTTCATGTACATGTATATGCACTGATGTCATCAAGTGACAGATTGATGATATGTCCTCCAGTGTGTGGTTCCATTGTCTCTCTGCCTGTACATGTACATGTAATTACCGCTACACATCTTCAAACAAGCACATGCGCATGTAACTGGAACTTGATGTGCATGCGTGCTTCATTTGTTTTCATGCCAAGTACATAATATGTCTGCAGAGTATTGAAAACAGCCCAGAGTGCTTCAAGTGTGTCCTCAATTTTAATTGAATACTCGTTAAGATTTGAAACAAGTGTGCAGATCTTGAACATGCACCGATTTGTACCGGTACATGTAAGAGTAATCATACACCTGTGCAAACATCCTCATACATCTACATGTAGGCCTACCGTACATCTGTACCGGTGTGTGGAACATGTACATGTATGTGTACTTTCTTTGGACTTGTTGGATCAAACTGTTGAAAATGCGGTTGAGGTTTTTATTATGGTGGGGGAAAGTTACCGTAAATTACTTCAAGTGTATCATCTGAACTGTGAAATTGTTAACCATTGAGTTGGGGTTTCCAAGTTACTGCTATATCTATTGAAGGTGCCTGTGCTAACTGGGTCTTTTTTGGCTTCAAGTTCACTTGATGTGTCTCCATTTGATTCCATCCACAGTGGAGGAAGAAGACTCGGAGGGCTTAGGCAAGTCACAGACGGGACGCAGGACGCAGCTCCCAGCTCCCCAGCCTGACACCAGCGGCCTGAGCCTCTGGAATATCCTCAAGAAGAATATCGGCAAGGACCTGTCCAAGATCTCCATGCCGGTGGCACTGAACGAGCCCCTCAGCATGCTGCAGGTACTTGTACAGTAGGAAGGGGGCAGGATAGCCCAAAAGGCCCGAGCCAAATTTCCTGCAGCTGTTTAAGTGGACAAGTACTGTGAGTTAGTTTGTATTAAGATGAGCACGAAAGCATAGCACATTTGACGTCACAAAAGATTTGCAGCGAAATTTGCTTGAATGGAAATATGTTCAACTATTGCAAATTCATATTTGGAATATTTGATCCAATGCCACAATTTGGCATTTTTGTTTGCTTTTGCGTCAAGTATGAACTAGCCATGATACCGGTATGTGAATGTGCAAAATGACTCGGCAAAAACAACTGAATATCAATGAGAGATTTGCAGTAAAACCATGGAATGAACTGTTTAATGGTGGCATTCTGAAAAGCACCTAGTCATCCTCAACATTTTACTGGTATGCTGCACTCGTCTTTAAAGAGAATACTGGTTTCACAAGTGTTTGGACTGAAGTAAAAAAAATCAATCAAGTAAAATTGGACTTCAACCAAAGTCTGTTTTCCAGTTGACAATGAATCCCGACCAATGTACACAGATTGCAAGTACCAAACATTGTAACTTGTTTTTTGTTGAGCAGATCATGTCTCTTCTTGTGTGTGAAGCATTGTTTGGGGAAAAAAAGAAAGGCTTTTTCAAGATTATGTGTGCTATCCCACTTCCCGGTTGCTAATTGCCACAGAAATTGCTCCTTGAACCTGTTGCCTGAACTTGCCTGTTCCTTCAAACTAGGTCTTGGCAGAGGAGCTGGAGTACAGTGAGCTGCTGGACAAGGCAGCTGAGACAGACGACCCCTGCAAGAGAATGGTCTACGTGGCATCCTTTGCCGTCTCCAGCTACGCCTCCACGTACTTCCGTGCTGGCACCAAACCGTTCAACCCACTGCTTGGGGAGACCTACGAGTGTGTGCGGGAAGACAAGGGCTTTCGATTTGTAGCGGAGCAGGTGGGAAACATTGCACACTTGAGCTCTGTCTGTTTTGATACCAGAGTTCAGAGTTCGGGTGACTTTTCATTGAGTCCAGTGTGGGCATTAAGTAACCTCGTACAGGTCCAACAAATCGGGTGTTGTAGGAACGCAGCAGTTTGATGTGATTTCTCAGAGCAAGACATGCCATGTGCACGAAGGGCTTCATCACAAATACCTGGGCTGTGCTCCCTGCGCTGGTGATTTCAAGCTTTGTTTTTAGATACCGGTACGATCAGTTGGCAAGCAGTGATGTTTTGACAGAATGACAATGTACCAGCGCATTAAGGAAATGCACACCACTTGGTAATTAACAAAGTGCCATGATAAAACTAATAATCACAATACAAGGGAGATAATGCGTTTGGGGTAAAACCACGGGACCCTTAGCTTAATGTGGTGTTACTTGTACAATGTACAGAGAGGTGATGATGCATGGAGTAAGTTTATGTATAAAATGTGACTGAATTTCAAGTGGAAACATGGAAGCCCACACAAATACATGTTATGTACAACACACATCTTAGTGGGCTGTTTGTGTGATTGATCTGCAAGATACGTATACGTGTACTGGTAATGAGCTGAAGGATTTTGTAATTCAATGTCAATTGTCCTGTCCAGATGCAGTTGTCACCGCCTTCTGAAGAGATTGCTTAAATCTCTGCAAAGTCATGAAGTCTGCTTTTCTTCTGTATCGATTCTTATCGATACACAGAAGTACTTGTATTTGATCTTGTCCCTGTAGTGCACTCTTTTGCTATGGCATACTTTCATATTAGAGTTACGTGAAGTTTCAACAGGAGCTATGATGTACAAGATGTTACTTGCTTAAGCGTAAGGAAAAGTTTATTAGTCAAGTATTTGTGACCATCCATAGTCCCACATGGCTGGATGTGAACAGAGAGTTATTACTACAGATGAGCCTGTATGGTGTTCTAGCAGCATTTTTTAACATCACTACATGCATACAAAGTTGACCATCTGAATGCAGCCGTATGTCAACTCACAAGCACTCAACACACTCGAACTGACTTGATTTCAGGGGCCTTGTTCTCCAACAACGTTGCTGTTTTGTATTTACCAAAGTTTGCTCATTGGTCACAGTTTGAGTACAGATTGGTCACATTTGGTCACTCACATGGCGGTGTGCAGGGTGTGAGATATGTGCAGAGTGAGTGTTGTTAACCTGCTTCCTCTTGGCAGGTGTCACACCATCCTCCCATCTCAGCATGTCATTGCGAGAGTAAGAACTTCATCTACACCCAGGAAGTCCGCATCAAGACCAAGTTCTGGGGCAAGTCCATGGAGATCATCCCAGCTGGGACCATCAACATCAGAATCCCAAGGTATGAAGGTCCCACATTGCCCAGGAAGATTGTGAAATTCTCAAACGATGCCAAAAGAATAGTAAGTTTTGACATGTCGAGGTTTCACATTGTCCAGTGAGATATGAGCCCTGGAAGCAATAAGCGACTTACATGTAAATCCTGTGAAAATAAAGGTGTAATAAAGTTGTCATACTTCACGGATGATTCTCGTACCTGTCAAATTAAGTTGTCTTCTTCCGACGCAAGTGTGAAAAGGGTCAGTGTAATCTCGGACATATTATAATACATGTACATCCCCATCACTCTGTGGACCCCTGTTGGGCATGTTAGTATCAACATTAATTGTCACTGATTTTAAGTTTGTTTTCTCAACAGATACAATGATAACTACAAGTACAACAAGGTGACCAGCTGTGTGCACAATATACTGAGCGGTGAGCGATGGTTAGACCACTATGGTGAATGCCTCATCACAAACGGTCGCATCATCTGCAAGCTGACCTTCACCAAGGTATGGTTGGTCCAACATCTGCAGAGAAAACCATTCCATTCATAGTTGGCTTCTGAGCATGTGATCTTGAATTCATGTAAGGTACATTTAGAGACGCAGGTAAAGTTTAAGTAGTGTTTTTGTCCATGGTGTCCAGAACCAGACAAAAGGGGGTCTGTCAGCCTCGAAGAATAAAACTGTTTGCTGTTACTTCTTGCTGTGAAAAGGGGCACTTCTTAATGCGGTGTTTTCATTAGGTTTAACATTCCAAAATGGTTTTGAAATCCACCCCCTTTCTGCACAAAAAGTTGACTCGAGAAAAAATCATGACATGTTGCTCCCTCCCTCCACTATGCCTGATCGGGAAGGCCCACCATTTTAATCAGCATTCAGAAAGATCTGCCTGTCGCGACCTTTAGGAAAGAGAATTTGGCATTAGTCCAAAGGTTGATGATGTAGATAGTAGGTGCACGTAGAGTTATCAGCCTGGTTGTTTCCGTACAGATCCCGATCTCGATCAGTGATCCGTCATTGATTCACTGGCACCAGGATCCACCTAATGGATGAAGCGAACAAGAGGTTGGGACCATTGACCGAGATCCCAATCCACTTAAAGCAAACAGCCCCCTTGTTTTTCTATGCATGCTCACTAAGGTGCGGGAGTTGAGTGTTTTTCTCCTCTCACAAATAACCACAGGCAAGTTACTGGAGTAACAGGAGGCACGAAGTCCATGGGTTGATCACAGATGATGGTCAGGTGGTCCATGAACTCTTTGGCAAGTGGAATGAGGGCATCTACTGTGGACGGTCGGCCTCGGCCAAATGCATATGGCGTACCGGTGAGTCGGTCATTTTTACACTGTGATCGGTTGTCACTGCTCTTAGTGCTTGAGCTTTCTGATTGGTTTACTGCAGCCGAGCACATGAGCAAGGAAAACAAGCTTGTCCTGCGTAGCCAAGATGTCAGTCTCGGTCATTCATTTTAGTACAACGGTTCCTTCTGCTGCTTGAAAGAGTTTTGCACAAGCAGCCGTCACCTGGCATTGGCTGGTGAAATTTTTGAAAGTTAGTTGGCACGTACGTTACTTAAACCACACAGGCACTCGCTGCTTATGTCTAGTCCATGCAGCAAAATTTGTACCTGCGCTTTGACACATTTTTTCACAAATAAATCAACCGCTTCGCAGATTTTCAAGATAAATTTTCTCATGAGATGGGCATTATAAAAAATCTTGATTCACAAGCTTCAAGAGAATTACATCTACATAAAGTCAAAAATAATCATTGGACCGCCGAATTCAGAAGTGTTAATGCGAATGTGAGGAACTTCGAAATCCTGGCTCTTTTAAGGTTGAATAGGTAGTCAAGGGTGTACATTACAGCTGCACTTATGTGTATACAAGTGCCATCAGTATTGAGTAACCAGTCGTGTTATTCTCAAGTCCATCACAAGTCCTTACAAGTCCATCAGAAGTCCTTACAAGTCCATTACAAGTCCTTGCAAGTCCATCACAAGTCCTTGCAAGTCCATCACAAGTTCATCACAGATCACCAAGTTTTGAGCCAAGTCGCACAAGAATAGCGACAAAAGCACTCTTTTGCCACTGTTTAATCCGAGCTACAAATGTACATGTACCTGTGACTGGACTTGTGAAGGGGCCTTGGGATAGACTCGACCACAGCACTGGTACATGTCCGTGCACCCAAGTCTCGTTCTTGTTTTGCAGGGTCTATGCCGGAGAACCACAGCATGTACTATGGCTTCACACGGTTTGCTATTGAGCTGAATGAGTTGGATCCATACACAAGGCACCTACTACCAGCCACAGATTCCAGGCTCAGGCCGGATCAAAGGTAAGACGTCATTTTCCTTGAGCAATTTAGCTTTTGCACTGCCAAAAAACTAGAGTGTCTCCCTTCGAGAATCTTTCAACAAAAACTATTACCATATTCTAAGGACTTCAATTTGCATGAGCCTGATAACTTTTACTTTTCAGACATAGCAATAAACACTGCTGTCTATTTTCAAAACAATGAAACATGTTTAGGAAAGTGCACTGACAGATTTGCAGTGAAGCATGTATCAGTGGACTTACGATACCTGATGGGTGTACAATTTTTTTCTAGCGATAAAACATTCTTTTATAATACACTAGCCATATGGTGTACACTTAAATTCTTCATGCTTCCCTGCTTATACTGTATACATCACTTGAGTAATACGTTCAGATTGCAAACAGAGTAAAGACTTAAATTGACCCTCATTATTCGATGAATGACTACTGTGCGCACGACCAATTTTTAGCTGAATGTGTACAAAAGCAAATGACGTTTGAGAAACCTATGTGTACATGAAAAATGGTAGAAAATGGTCAATGGCACCCAATGGCACTCTTACTTGGGAATTTCATTGACGAGGGTCATAGTTAATGATCATACATAGTCCTGGAACATTTCATGACACACTTTCCATCATCACTGGTATCCATGCAGGAAGCTTGAAGACGGTGATGTCATCAGTGCAGAGCGGGAGAAGCAGAGACTGGAGTCTTTACAGAGGGAGCGTCGGAAATGGAGGGAGGAGCAGAACATGGACTATGAACCGCGGTTCTTCAGGTAGGAAGAGCTACCACTCGGCCTCCATGTTTAAAGGCATGAATTTTTAACAGGTTATGAAGCACTGTGGAACCTGATTTCTTTTATAGCAAGCATGGCCAAGTTATAGGTGGGTAATTTAGTCTCAAGAGCTAAAGAGAACAGTGGAGGCCTTTGTCTGGACTCCGGATTATGTTGCTAGAGCTAGCAATTAGTACATGTCTGTTAAGAGCCGATAGCTTGTGGCTAAATCTTTTTCCCATAGAGGCTTGTTATGTTGCTGGCCAGAGCCATCTAATTTGGCAGCCGGAAGCACCCAGTTTGAGTAGTGTTTTTTCTTATATGTATTTTGTTTATTTTTTGTGGACAGATTCACCAAGGAAAATGGCAAAGAAGTGTGCATCTTCAAGAATGATTACTGGGACTTGAGACGGGATCCTGGCTTCAAAAACTTGAGCACTACCGAGCTCTGGTAGCCACGGCAACTCCCAACCATATGGTTATTATGTCCGCCGCCGTGTGTGGGATGTGTGTGCTTCAGCAAACTGCTGACTGTGACAGGGCTCTGGTGTCCCAGATTGCAAGAACATGACCGACGCAACGTTCTTGTAGTCCAGATTATCACAAAAGGCCACTACTGATAAGTTTGTGGCCCTTGCCATGACTCAGCCTCCCCAGAGTTGTGGAGACCCCAGAGATAGCAGAGAGAGAGGAAAAAAAACAGTTTGGTGGTCTAAGAAACAAGATTGATGCTGATCACTTTGCTTTTTTTTTCCAGCTGCAAGGAATAAACTTACAAGAGTGTTCCCCCTTTTCCTGACTTGAAGTGATTTTTATACCACATTACTCTAACTGCCTGGCTTGACATTTTGAAAGCCCTTGCTCATCAAAGATAGCCACCTGTGTTCTGATGGCATACTTTCCCCTGCCCCCCAGGGCCTGCTCACAACAGAGTGTACATTTGCTTGAATTAAGGGAGGCAGGACACGTCTACCTCAGTGTGTACTTGGCCTGGGCTACCCAAACCCCCTATTTCAATGCTACAGACTAGAACGCCATCACATGCTATGAGTATACATCCCTGACTGCTATTTATTTCCGTCTTTGTTCCTCTCACTGTGTTCATTCTGCTGGGCCACTTTACTTGAATTGTAGCAAGGAGGAGAATCTGAAACCCTGTACCTTCCCACTAATTAGAATATGGTCATGTAATGTGCTGTCTAAGTAACAAGTGTACTGCCAGATTGTAAGACGGTTTGGTATGGATGATCTAGATAATGCAGACATTAGACAGTAAAATGCTTACCAACACATAGCAATTTTTTTAAGTAGTTGCCGAGGACTTTTTCGAACTTTTCGAGTGCTTCTACCCCAAAGTTTAATCGCAGAGTATTATGCATCCAAAGTCCCAACTTTCTTGTCTTGTAAACTCCATCTGCTGTGTTCCTAATAAACGGCTCAGTATGTGTGAGTAAAAAATACTCAGAAATTACTCAAATGGAACTCTGCTTCCCACTGTTGGTGCTATATATACATTTTCTTGTTCCCGATTTGCCACGGGATGCCACCACCCAGTTTATCTTTGTCTCCTGTTAGGCTTTTGAATGTGGATGATGTGGTGTTACAACAATTTTTGTTTTATACAGAAACATTACTTTTCAAACCAAATATGCGAGCCTGTCATTAATGTGGAAGAACTTATAAGTCACCAGTGCCCCAGTTTGGGGGCAGCGCCATCCAAAGCAGTCAAGTGTTTACTGTAGTCAGTTTAATCTGCCTTCTCTCAAGAAGTAGGACCAAATTCTCCAGTTACGGTCAAGGTGTTTAAAGTTTCATTAAAATGTCCCTAGCAGACTTTTGTCTTGAATTTAACTCAAATGTTGCTCTTTCAGTCTGTCAGCTTTACAAGTATTGCTTATATTTTAGCTGATGACAAAAGGCGTCAATTGCTGTTACGGTTGTATTTTCATGTTGTGAGAAAGGTTCCAAATCTGTGTTCAAGAAATCTGTCATTTTAATCTTCACGAAAAAGGAAGAGCCAGTTTACTGTCAGTTTTTCCCGCAAATCACCTTTTTATTAAGTCTTCTGTCTATCAGGAAAAATATAGTTTCTTTTATTCCACATGAGAATGTGAAATTACACAATGTATTTAGCCTATCATTGTATATGTGTTTATATTAACATAGTTTGTAAAAATCTACAAATTTTTTATAACTGTTGACCAGTTTATTTACATTGTTGTTTTTCAGTAGCTGAGGACAAATTTAAAATAATCTTTACAATGTTCATTCCATATGGCTCATTGCTGGTACTGTTCAGTGCAGCGAATAGTTAAGGCGGCATTGCTTGTAAGGTTTAGCAGTAAAGTTCAAATTGAAAAAAAAAAGATGTAACAACCTGTTCCCTGGTGTAGTATCTACATTGTGGAAAAATCAACTTCTTGTATGTTCATTGTGGAAAACAACTTTAAAGGTTATAAAAGCATTTCTCGTATTTTCCCAAAAAGTAAGACAAATGTGTTAAATGAAATTATCTGGAGTATGCTTATTACAGCGCCCAATCCAAAAATCAAAATTGTTGACCATGTGAAAGAATATGCAGTAGGTAAATCTCGGCTCGATAAACGTGACAGTATTTGTAATGTCTTCATAGAAAGAAAAAAGCCTAAAATGAAAGTAGTTATATGTTGCCTTCAGGAATCTGCTTATTGGCCTAAACAGAACTCGTAATCTTCCACCAGTAGGCTTACTCCTCATTTCGGACGGTTCCTTTGTCAGTGTGTGTGATACACCACTGTAGAGAAACCAATGATGAAATAAGTGAAGAGCAGCATTCAGGCGTGCTTTTGACACGTGTAATCTGTGAAGTTGGTGAGATATTGCGCCGTAGTGATGATATATACATGTACTGTCTGCACTGCACAAATGGGGGGGGGGTGTAAAACTAGGGATATCGATTTTGGGTCCTAGTATCTCTGTGTCCACATAATACACTCGGAGGCTTTGTTTCACACTTTCAGGTAGTTAGATAAAGGTACACCAGTATGGTGCTTGCGTCTCCCCTGAACTTGACGTAATACACATCACCATTCAGTTTTCCGGCATATCATTAATGTTACGTTTGAACAACTCTGTAATTCGCTTACGTGCTGACTTGGATGCACATGTATATCTGCACATATGTATCTCTGTCTTATATGCTTTAGTGTGATACACATGTACATGTATCTATTAGTGATAATTCTACATGGTTTAAACAGTAATTAATCGTGCAATTGTTTTAGATTTTGTTCGTTGAAACTGCCAATGGTTAGTTTAACTTTTAGAGGGACGTTGATACTGGTTAAAGTCATGTCTCTGATTATAATAGAGGCCATGATGACATACAATGGTATGCCTACTTACAAGTATTTTTGGACAATGGCGATAGCATCAAAGAATGTTCAGACACAGTGTTGTATTATAGGAGTAATTATCACTTTTAATGTTGAGGGTTATTCGGGGGAAATTCCTTTTTATTGTCAAGGCAAAACTTGGGATCTTAGAGTGGACAAAGAAAGCGGCCGTCTTAAACCATGTAAACTGGTCATTTGTGGCAGTGTGGATATATACTCGCCCGTACATTCATATACCCTGTTTCCGCATAATGCAAAGTCGTTCTGGTTACAGGTCTCTTGAAACCAGACTGTTGTGCTGTAGACAACACCCAGAGGTGCTCGCAGACCATGAAATGTCAACTGGACAGTTTGTGTCGCTTGATCGATCTTGATCGCAAGGTGACAGTGATACCGGCCCTGTTATCTCCTGTCGGTAGGGAGATATACCACGGATGCTGGGGTTCTGTGGTATTTCTAAGTGGCTACCTGATGTATTCTGTGCTCGCAATTTAAAGTACTTACCTCAGGTGAAGGCTGTTCAATTTTACGGCATGTCACCGCAACTGTATAGCATCCGTGTATTTCGTGGAATGTTAAGACAACTATAAAGAAATGATTGCGCGTGGTGCTATGGGCCCTTCTTGTATTTTTAAGCACCAATGTTGATGTTTCATTAGAATTTTGTTGCATAATACTGTTCTTTTGGACAAAGAAAAGGCTGCAAGTGGCCTATTTAGTATTCCCTGTGTTTTGTTGAATTGATCATGTCAACTGCCGATTACATTTGTAGGAAGCCTAAATCTACAGAGCTCATCTATATTTTGGTTCTGTTGGAATCAATTCTGTATTTGCTAACCATTTAAAACTTGGAACTAGCAAACAATTCCTCTCGATTTTTTTCACCACTTATTGATATTTTATGTGTTATAACTTTGTGAATAGATTGAACTGGGATTAAACATTCACAGTTGCCATAGCTTCGGTTTGACTTTTTTCGTGTTCTACAGAGCAACAAAGTTACCGCAACACAGGAAGCTGTATTAAAATGAGCCGCAGAAATAGATTTTACTTGACTTGTGTGTCTTATAATTTTTGTCTGCATAAATAATTAGAATTAACCCATAGTTTTATTAATATCATTGATTCATGTCACCTTCTGCCTGGTCTCATCTGGAACTTCGTTTTTTACGCTTCGAGCCCTCATTGGATGGAATTTGTTTAACGTGCAGGTTAGCACAGTTCAAGACTTCCGTGAGCGCGACTATAGGCCTATTTGTGTGTTTTAGGGGAGGATTTTCGGCTGATATTTTTCTAAATAGAGTTGGTAGATTGTGAGTGAGCCCCAGACAGTACATTCCCACAAAAAGCACGCACGTCCATTTTGCTCCTTATAATACCGGTTTGTAGATTCCTTGTTCTGTCTGAACCTAAATTTGAGTGTTTTCCCTCGGTGTACCATAATAATGTTGTTATGATGACATTACACTGTTTAGTTGCATAGTTGCATCTGAATCGCGTATCACTGTGTAGATATCACCATCACAAGCCCCAAGGCAAATAAACACACCTAGATTAAATACCATGTTGGTCATTATACGGCGCGATTTTAATTGCGCCGGGGTTGAACAGATACGAGTGCTCGGTACTTCAGAGAGGAGAGCCAGGGGTACGTGGAGCTCTCCAACCGTAGCTAGGTAGCCATGGGAAGATATGAACTCTGATACTTAGCCCACGGCTTCGGCACAACACAACAGGGACTTGTGCCGTTTGGAGTCGAATAATGTCTGACGAGGAATCGGACGGTTTGGAGGGATTACTGCTCGCAGCCAAAGAGGGTGACGTCGCGACATTTAAGGAGTTGTTGAAGGCAGGCGAAGATGTGTTGCAGAAAGACAAGGTATATGCATATGGACTGACAGTTAATCATCTAAAAACATGCAACTATTCGGAGACAGGGGTAGTGTTGACTGTTCTGTACTTGTGTGAGCATTGTAAACAGATTTGTATGTGGCAGTCTGAGAGTAGATAACGATACCAAAACAGCGTGCTTTTGGAGTTCACGGTAGGCATATCTGAGCTTGTTATAGCAAGTTAAGGTCACGGTCCTACAATGGTAAAAGAAACATGATACCTTTTCACCACAGGTAGCAAATTCAACACCAACTTAGCGTTTGCCATGAGCCCAAACGCGACGCCATGTCTGGAACACTTTGCATTTGCACGTTATGTTTGAGGAATCGTCAGATGCCAAGCGATGAATTGGTGTCATATCTCGCTACTCAGAGGTCGCTTGGAAACCGCTGGGAAATTATTTTGCATAGACATGCATGGTAATACAGAGATACCTAATCGACAATTGAACAAACGTTTGGTCTGTTATATGTGGTTAACTTGAAAAACTGTGCCGTGTTATTCATTCAAACTAATCGGTATATATAGGCCTAATGTTTGACAAAAATCTTTTTTTATGTTCAAGTTGGGTCTATTATAAAAACGTGTGGCCGCACATTTACAGAGTGAAATACTTCTTTGTCATACATTATTTTATTTTAAAAAGCTAGACGTTTTGATTCTAAGGATCCAAGATTTTTCTGTTTGTATGTTTTAGGCCACTGTAGCCAGTGAGTCGTTCATTTAAAAAATGGCGTTTAGCATTTAAACACAATTTGCTGTTACATGTACATGTAGTTCGTTGACTTTTTAGATGCTAAACGTTTGATCTCCCATTCCTGAACATCAATAGCCAGACTGATAACCAAAAATGTTTTGAAAAGTTTTTAAGTTGCTGTATATGTGTAACACAGTTTTTGCAGTGTTTCCGAAAGTGGTTTTTTTATTTTACATTATTTTGTTTCAATAAATTACTTTCAGAACGACCAGACTGTGCTCCACCTGGCTGCGCGAAGTGGCGCTGTTCTGGTCATTCTAGCGGGAGTTTCAAAAGGACTGACTTGGCACATCAACGCAACGAGCAAGGTATTTATTTCAAACACATATCGAAGAAAGGAGATTTACTTCGAAAAATTTGCTATCACAAGTTCACAGATAATCGCAACATACTGATACATGTATGTTCCTTTTGAAAATTAGGTATATGTAAAGGGAGATTTTTTCTATGAATATTGTGTAGATTAAATGACATTTCTTTGGTGTACGCTTTATTTTATGGAAATCTAGTTATATTAAAACAAATTGTGTGATAATTGTTGCAGCGTGGTTTGACACCATTACACGATGCCTGCCTGGCCGGTCATGTCAAAGTAACCAATCTGCTGCTGGCATTGGGAGCTGACGTCATGGCTCAAACCAAGGTTTGTGCTGTGGTGCTGTTTGATGTCTCTCAATATGTGACTTTTTGTGGCTGACTTTCTGCGATTAAAAATTTGAATGGAGATGCTCTTTGTTCTGCAATTCTCTTAGGTCAAAATAAAGAAAACTAGGTGACAATTAAAGGAACGGCTTGCATGTTTGTGTTCCCTTTTAAGTGAACTGATTGCTGTTCTCGATTTTTAATTAGAAGTTATAATGTATCATGCAAAAGCATTCACTTGCAGTATGATCAGGACAATGAAAATCCGGGAGGCGGGCCCTATATCGCAAGTCGAAACACCCCTCACTTGCTTGACGATGAAAACTTGGAAGGCGCTCTTTGTGCTATATTCAAAATTTGCTGCTGGAACTGGGGAATTGGTGCCGAAGGGAGGTCACTGCCGTGAACTAACAAATATCTAGCCGGGAACCACCAGATGGAAAAGCACAAACTTTGAAACAAAAAAGACCAGGAGAGCTTGTGCACACATATTATGACTACCGGTAGACGACAAAACAAGCATTGCTAACAATGCTTTTTTTCCCTTTAATTAGGAGGGTTACACGGCGTTGCTGTGTGCAGCTGGCAACGGGCACGCCGAGGTTGCAAGGCTGATGGTCGGAGCAGGATGTGACCCAAACAGACTTGTCCCGGTGAGTAAATACAGTCAGGTCGACAAACATCGGTATATTTTGAAAACTGGTTGTAAAACGATATAGTTTGGGGGTGTTGGGCCAAATGCTGTTTAATTAGCCTTGGCTAGCTATAGTTTTAGCGGGATTTTTGTTTAGTTTTCAGTGCCGTTCCAAATGCGTTATATAATACCTGGAGCTTCCAGGGCTATGTTGACAAAGCACTTGGAACAAGTAGAGATATGATGTTAAGACGTATATACAGCTTGACAAACAAAAATACATAAAAATTAAAAAAACAAATAAACAAAATGGCAGAAACGTAAAAGCATTTGGAGAACGACTTGATCTTGCGTCAATACGTCCAAATAGTTTGTTTAATGATTTTCTAAGAAAATATTTAAGAAGTCCATATGCTATCCGTCTTGAGCAGAAGCACCCTTCATTGATTGAACAGAGCTAGGCTGGTCAGGAGTGCTCATTTTGCTGGTAGTGACGCAACAGTAGCCCGTACATTTCACGTTCGTTTGTAAATTAGGAGGCTCCGTTGCTGGGAAAATGCGCCCTCTTTTTCGGCCAGCTCGGGGCTCGTAAGCGGACTTTAAAACTATGTATTTACCTGGTGGGGGACTCCACATTAGGAAATTCGACAGAGCAGTGGCAGTAGTAATTTAAACAAATTTCTAAAAACGATTGTCATCAGTTTCTTATCATCTGGAAAAGAATGCACGCATCAATAGAGGGTGCTATATTAACATCGCAAAAAGTGGAAATTGCGGCACTAATCGAGTATACGCTCTTGTAAAGGTGTTTTTTTTCTTGGTACTTTGTAGCCAATAGGCGTGAATGCTGTACATATAGCTACGTGGACTGGGCAAGCTGACGTTCTTGACACTCTCCTGCAGTTGGGAGCGAGACCAGACGAATAAGAGCAAGGTACATGTATGTACTTACGCAGTTCGTGCGTGGGTTTAATTTGGAAATTTCTTAAATAGCCGAAGGAGCAGAAGAAAGAAAAGACGATATCATGTTTAGGAAAAGGCAGATAATGAGTGATTGGAAGAACGGCTTTTTGATAGTGTAACATATTAAAACAGAGTGGCTGGTTCTCTAGAAATATTTATTTACGGTCTCTGAACTATATTGTCCTGTGATGTTGAGCATTAAGGTTCATCAGAAGGAAAAAAGAAATATCATTTTTAAGTGTACTGGAGATGAATTTAATCTGTTTCGAAATTCACATTTAGACACATAATTGCACAACTAATTTTGTAGTGGGTAGAACAGCCTTGGAAACCAAATTTGAGAACACAAAAAGGGATAAAAATAAACATCGGTGTATCCGAGGGGGTGGGTGGGATGAATTAGTTTACAATCTTATAAATTTGGAATTTTGTTTACCTCCAATAGATTGGGAAGACCGCGGCAGAGTTTGCTGCTGAACAAGACCACACAGAATGCCTTGAGATTCTTAAGAAGCACGCTTCAAAGGTTAGCTCGTTGGAATATTGAATTTGCTTTGACATCATTTAATATAAACCTTAAAAACACAGAAAAATTATGCGAAATAAGTATTCATATGTCCTGGGATTACTACTTATAAGTGCAGTTCCATAGAAGTCATCACAGCCCATTAAAGCTTAGCACATTCAGTTTACTGTTAACTGTCAATTCATAAAGACAAACAAAGAAATTGTATAAACAGGCGTTCCAACCTCTGGAACACCCGTACCGATGCTCTACCAACTGAGCTGTCCAACCCTACGTTGGTGGCTCTTTCCTATATATAGTTTGTTTCATCAACTGCCAATTTACATAGATGTAATATCGATTTAACATCGAACATAACATCTTTCATGATTGCAATTGCATTAAGGAAAATTAATTCCGGGTAGAAGATTTATCTAGACTTTCTTCAGTTTTCTTTGTAAGTTTAATGAAACGTGGCCAGCATGTTTTACTGCAATTAACTTTGATTTACTGAAAAAAAAGAAGTTATATGACCCTCTTTTGTCTGACTGAATGCTAAAATGGTGGCACACCACTCTGTATGTTGTCAATAAATGTTGAGAGAGGGATTCCCACAGACAAGAACTTAATCGCTTGATAATTGAATTGATCTGCTTATTTGAAAACACAGAGTGCATCGTCTCAAGTTGACGAGATGAAGATACTGAAATCCAAAATGAAAAGAATCGAGGAGAAGATTCGCGGCTACTTTGAGGACAAACTCAAAGAAGAAATCCACTACTTCGAGAAACAGCTAGAAGACCAGCATGAAGAAGACATGAGCACGATCATCAAACTCCAGCAGGAGGTGTCGAGGCTGCAGTCCATCCTGGGCCGGGAGCAGGCACAGCTCGTACGGGGACAGCCACTGCGTAGTCCCCGTCCTGACATCATCGACATGAATAGGATGCCCACCGCACCAACCACTGCCAGGCCTGCTGGCCCAGCACGCAAACACCGTCTGAGTGATGGGGACGTACCGGACAAACCTTGTGGCAGTGGGTCCCCAGGTAACGACAGTGCCGAGAGCGCTAATGAAGACGAACGACAGGAAAAACTGGGACTGAAGACGGCGTCAGCCCTCAAAGACAAGAGTATCTACGCTCTGGTGGAGGAGACCTCCAAGAAAACGAGCAGCATGGCTTATCTAAGAAGACAGTCATCAGAGGAGAGCTCCAGCAGAGCACCCATTTTGCGGAGTGGGAGTGCCGGGGCATCAAGTTTGCCCAGCAAACCCTTGTCATCTCGACGCGGACGGGTCGTCACGGAGACTCCACCCACCAGCCCCGTCATTAAAACCCAACCGGGTGGACTTTTCTCCGACCTTTCGCCGTCAACCTCGGCTGTGCCCACACCGCCGTCGCCCGATCGCGACCGCCTGCAGGTCGGCGAGCCCAACGCGCCCAAGACCCGCAGGAAGAGTCTAACCATGCTTCTCCGTCCCATATTCTTTGGTGATAACAATAACAACGGCAGCAGCAAGAAAGACAAGTCCAGACGGCGAAGTGTGATCGCTACCATGCCAGTTCCTCCAGCTCTGGACAGCCAACCGCCAAAAAATAAAGGCCCATCCCTACTTCAGAGGCCACTGCCCGGTATACACCCAATAGCAGATGAAACGGGGACGGGCACACAAGACGAATAGCTACGAGACACGATCCTCCGGTATTTTTGAAGGGATCAGACGCCCGTGGCAATTACCCCTCCCGAAATAATATTGGTTTTCAGTGTACTTAATAAATTATTGATTTGAATCACTTCCATGTTTGCAGTTTACTGCGGGGGTCCCCTCAAACTGAGTTTAGAAACGAATATGAGCATGGGGATGACTCTTTCAGAAAATGGGCCGGAAGATTCGGGTCAGTGACGTTTTCCTCAGTTTTCCACACAAAAATCGAAATTCAGTTTACCTTTTGAACTTTTTCCATCAGGGTACAACTTTTAGAAGGTGTGTTCTAGGCTAATAAAGGATAACCTTTGCAATTTTTAAGCTACTGTAACGCAATGGTGCTACAAACCGCCACTGTGAGCAGTTACGCAAAAATCTATCTCACGTGATAATTATTTTTGAAACTTATTTTTCTTTAAATTTGCTAAAATAGTAAATTCAAATGTTTTAAAGTTTGTTCTGAAGAATTCATTCCGGAAATGTCAAAATCAACACAAACCGACATGAAACAGACGTTAGGAAATTTGGCTTAGTTCAAAAAGTCAAGCATTTTCTAAGCGTGTAAAACAACGGCGGAAACAGGTTTTTTTTTTTTTAGTAATTACGTAAACAGCAACTTTAAAATGGAGCATTATTTTTATCATCGTTCATTAAACACCAAGACATCTGACTCCATGTTTTTTAGATTGCACTTTACAGTATTTATGTATACAGTATTTGATGGCAAAGCCATTTTTTTGCCCAATAATCTCACAATCTTGAACTTCAACCAAGGACTAATTTTACCAATAAATATTGTGCAAAAAGTAAAGTTCTTTCTTTAGACGTTAGGGCAGGCTAACTTTTTTATTAATTGAAGGCAGATATCACGTGTAGGCCTACACATTTTGTCCAGCCCGTAAAGCCATTCTACTTACGAGAACAAGATTTCTATCTTATCTTTAAGTTACCAAGACGCCAACTGTCGCAAAACCAAACATACAAAAAGATTACTTTAGAAAGGATCACTTTGCAAAGGTTATTTCATTTCCCGTTTACATTTTATCGTTAAACTGATGTTTTATACACATATTATACACTCAGTTCAAAGGGTGTTGGCAACGTTGAAGAGCCTAGCTTATTAGCTTGGCATATTTATCACATAATACCGTAATATTCATGCCAAGTTCCGCACAGTGGATTTCTCTGTAACTTGTTCATTTCTGTTTATTAACAGACGTGGGTAGTTCGATGATTGGGAGCAAAGTCCAATAAAGACAAAGATGTTATGTTCATAATTTTACAACGTAGCCTTGCTAAGTGTTATCTTTATCGGGTTGAAAAGTATGACTCATTAAGGCGCCTTTGTATGTACACGCATTTAAGGTTTTAGGGTCGCGTACACGATGCGTTCATACATTAAGCTTTCATAGACAAAAAATTGACTACATGAACATAACACACGCGTGCGTTGCATTCGGCCGTCAAAATCGCCCAGGGAGCGATTTTGACGGATGCGCAACGCTTGGCGAAAGTGCGGACGCGCATATGGAAAACGCCTTCATGCAAAATATTTGCGTGAACTGCCTCATTTTTTTTCTATATGGTCTTGATGTTACCATAGATGCTGGGAATACAACCTTGGCATAGAAAGCGTGTAATGTGAGCTCCAACAGCGGCGGGGGCATTAATTTTGTCCTTTTTGTGGGAATTGAGAAACTGCATAAGTATTACCACCTTTCGGGGGATCCAGATTCTTTGGTGTATGAAAAAAAATGGACATTCTTTTTTAGGAACATTCCATCAGCCCTGGACTCAAGACATGGATACGCAACTGATGTGGCAGTACATGAACATGCAAATACCATGTCAAGACATGTCATCATTCCCATCATTTTTGCACAAGAATTTTTAAACTCAATGATGCCTCTCGGTCACACAGAAATTCCAAACACTGACGCATTTGGAACGGTACGGTTTGCCTGAAAGATGATCCAGATCTGTTGCACTCACTATATAAAAAATAACAACGGCGAAACCATTCATGTTCCTTTCGTAGGCACAAATGGGCTCTAATTTTTTGAAGGGGTGATGGTACTTTTTTATGAGAGACGGCCTTAAACAACAATGGACCTGCTTACGATAAAGAAGGGTTTTAATTTCACACGCATTGCTTGCATAATGACACGTTTTATATTATTTTTCCCGACAGAACTTTACACGCTCGCTTTTGTAGTCTCTCTTAAGTATAAGCCTGAGCATTAGTGAGCGTGTAATGTCACCATACAAAGGTCTGAAATATCCCTTCCAAACAACTGCCAGTCCATCTATGTTAAAACCACATTTCTTCATCTTGAGCAGCATAATCATATAAACGATAAAATGTAGCATAAGATATTTTATCGACCTTAGCTGTAGAATTCATTATACTCTAGAAAAAACAAAACAAACACGTTTGTGCCGAGTGTAGATTGTGTGTTGAAATTCGTAGGCGCCTGTCGTGCAATAGTAGCGTCTAGGCGAGATAGGGTGGAGCAATGGTCCAGAACGAAGATCCAGAGATTTCCAATCATTGCAGGGGGGCAGCCTGCCAAATTCGTTGGCCATTCAGCTCAACGGGTTTATTAGGTCAATGCGAATGAGCTGATCAGCGTCGCTCATGCTTCGCCAGCCACTTTCATCGCAGCTTCGAGCGATCAAACCATGTGGATTTGACCTTACCCACCTCCTCCCCCATACAGGCCTCCCGGTTCCTGTGGCTGGGGTTTTTCGTTTCTGCCTTGTGTTTTATTTATGGCTTGGCAGTTTTTTTTATACAGAATAAGAATGGAACACCATTTGTTTGTTAAAAATGATAAACTACCTGGTCTAAACATCAATTAGATTTTGAGCTTTGGAAGTTAAATTGTCTAAAACGCCGTAATGTGCCACACGGCATGACAATGGGGAGTTGAACATCATAGTTCAATTTATTAATACCAGTACACGTGTGTATCTTATTAATAGCCTGTGACATTCCACACGGGCTACACCCGGCCGCATATTCCAGCGGTGGGAAATTTAGATTACACGATACTGTAAGTTACTGACTTACTACAATTCTTAAAACAAGTACTGGGCTACGTAAAAGTTTCTTCCTTTATATTATGTATGAATAACTAGCGTTAGTTAATATTGTAGCGTGTCCTACGGATCAGGGTTCGACGCTAGTACAGATTCACACACAGCCGCAACTCGCTGGTCACGAAATCTCTGTTTTATTGCTGTAGCGTCCACAACAATGTGTTTTTCAAATAAGCTCTAAACATGGCGCCCATCGGCAGGGACTGCGCAGGCGCAAGGCGGGAAAACCGCCGGCCGTTCGCATACAAGCGGGGGCAGCCAGCCAACTCCATGCGGGTCCGAGCTGGCGCCCCCACCGGCCGGACACTTCGGCGCTACACCGCCCCCTCCGAGGACTCTTGTTCGTCCCCGAACGAGGCGGCGCAACCCGGCAGGCCAGCCCGAGGCCATCCCGGTCGCCCCTGCGCAGCTTACAAGGCAGTGGAATAACAAGCAACAAGTACAAGTATTGTGGGTTCCGAGGGTCTTCTCCGCTACCATGGGGGGGGGGGGATCCAGGGGTCCAGTGTGGAGGAGACTCCGGTCGCCGTGGTGCCCCCCGGCGTTTCTTCGTTGCTCCGGGGGGACGGACTCCGCTGGGCGGTGGAGGGGGCTCCCGCTGGACCTCCGACCGCCACTGGCTGTGGTGAAGCTCACAGAGAGGTGGGTCCATCATGGTGTCTGTGTCTCTGGTGGCGCGATCCTCCTGCAGAGTGGCTCG